GAAGGGAAATTCTATAAAAAATGTAAACTCGCAGGTACTGTACTTTGGTGGTCTGGGGAGCATTTATGGTTCTTCACCTTGGCCAGACGAACAAGGCGCTCACGATGAGCTTCTCCTTTTCGATATCGGCTAGCGTTGGTGAGTCCTTTTCGATATACAGTTTGGGTACTTTTACATTATCGGGGGGGGGGAGAGGGTTGTATGTTTAGAAATTCCTAGTAATGGAATGGTAAGTAATTCGATCAGTTTTTAGTCAGCTGCCACCGCATTTCAAGCGGAAAAGCTATATAAAAATTGTTAAAACATTTTAGAAACGCGAAATTTCGGTCGAAATCGCTTTTTCGATGTTTTAGATGTTTCCCGCCTGATCCCCCCCGATAATGCCAAAGAACCGCGCTGTGAAAATCATCCTCTAAAACTGATTTCGAAAGCCATTTTTCGAAGGGTCAATTGGAAAATCTTTTTTCGAAAGAATTGCGCCAAATAATTTTTCGAAAAATTGCTTTTTGCATGAACCACTTTTCTAAATTATGTTTTCGAAACCCCACCTTTAAAACAAATTCCACCCTTTAGCTCTGATGCTCCTTTTCGCGCCGAAGCTCTGGATCATCATCATACACCCGGAGAAAAACGTGCGCTCCTCCTATACAACCACCAAATTGATACGGTAGGTTTGAAAGGTGTATTCCGTAACACTCCCCATTTCAGGTGCCATTTCGGCAACTCACAGGGCGGCACGTTCGACTCGAAGCATAACGCGTCATCGAAGACGACGCGTGCCTCTACACAGTCGGCCTCGCTCAGGTTGGCCCCCCACACACGGTCAGCCACACAGTCCCGGTGTACGGTGGTTGCTGCTGTGCATCGTTTCCCTGTTGTTGTTGTAGTTTTCACTTTTACCCCCGGCTGCGTAGTTTGTAGCCTATATTTTTACGATTAAAATCTTGTAAATTTTTATGCTGTTTTGTAACCAATTTTTTTCAAATTTGCGCAGTTAAGCTGGATGGCGTTTCAATTTCCATTTTCGATTTTCGATTCAAGGTCCCGGCAAGGCATTACCCTAGTTTTTTGGTTGTGGATTCGCTATGGACCTTGCCGCGACGCAAACACGATTTCCATTCCGTAATCGATTGCGGTCTCGGAGCGCGGTAACGCTGCGCGTTGCGTGTCGCGGCGCGACAAGATCGCAAGGAATCCACAGCTATAATCCCGACACCCGTTCCGAGAGGCTAAAATAGCGGCACGGCACTTCTGCGGATTTTAACGTTTTCCCCTGGTATCTTTAGGATTGCACTTTTATTTAGTTTAGCTTCCCCTTTTTAGCAATCAATTTCGGCACTTACTGGGCTCTGCTTCCCAAGAAAATCCGTGTAATTCCGTCGTGTTCCTATTGACACTCAAGTTTTTTTGAATAAAATTTTCCAGCCACTCGTCGGGCGTCACTCGAACAGCCTCCGTGCACGTCGTCTCCCACCCAAGCGGTCACACCGACGCCCAAACACAAACCGACCCGCCCGCCTCGAAATTCAGGTAAATTCAGGCTTTTGAGATTTTTAAAATGTACTTTTATTTCTTTTCTCAACTCGCCCCTTTATAGTGATTCCCCGGATAGTGAATTGAGGTAATTCGCCCCCATCACCACCAATTTTCCGGGCCTACTAGGTCGCCCTAAATAGGCGATGGTTCATTTGGGAGCATGAACTTGTTGGCCTCCCTGGTTGGTCCCGGAATGACACCCGTCGGCTTTCAAATCCTGTAACCCGTGGCCCCAGGCAGCCTTCAGTCTCGTTCGACCCTATATCCTGCCCGAGCTACCGTACCCTCGATTTTTAGCCGAACATTCTCGATCGCTGGCAAACCGGGGAAGAAGGTGGTCGACGACGATGTGCAACTACTGGTTGATGCGTGTAGACGATATCAGGTTTGGACTGGCTGTATTTCATGTGGACAACCTAATTGACCCTCCCAAAATTTTCCAGATTTTCTGTATTTTTTCGGGATGGTTTTAAAGCCAGTCGATAAGCATCAAAAACGTTTTTTGTTGTTGTGGCTGCTCAAAATATTGTATGATGAAAAAAAAGTTATATGCGAAACAAAAATAAGTTTTGAAAATTGAGCTAAAAAGCTCGTTTTCGACATTTTTCCATTTTTACGGGATTTTTAAAGGCATTCGATAGAGCATCAAAAATCTATATATATATTTTCAAATATTTTGTATTGACAAAATCAAAAAAATCTCGTGCTTTCGAGAACAAGAATGGCCGATTTTGACAAAGCTTTCGACTTTTTCTAAAAATTTAAATTATAAAATTTTCTTGAAATGGTTTTCTATTTGAAATATGGTTTTTTATGCTTGGCTGGCAAAAAAAAATCACCACAAAAATGCTTCCTATTAACTTGCTAGGCATTTCTAGGCTTATAGGAAAAATCTTTGCACCCCCCGATAATGCGAAAGCGCCAGAAATAAACGGAATTTTTGTGATTGCAGGATGAACGCCTCCGGGGCGCCGAGTCGAACCTCCTCCTCGAAGAAGCGGAAGACGAGGGACAAGGCGGTGATGAGGTCGGTGCCCTGCTTGTCGGTTCGATTGGAAACTCGATGCGTGCCGTGTTGTCGACGATGGGCCATGGGACAGCTCTTGGCCCAACCACGGTCCCTTCAAAGGGTGCCACACGTCCTTCTGAGGGCCGTCCATCCCGGCAACTTGATGAGGACTTTGAGGAGGTACGGTATTGCATGGTGGTAGTGTCTTTTAGGAAGGACCACGGAATTGGCACGGAGACAAATGGTAGTAAAAATTGGGGTTATGGGCGTAATTTTGACTTTTTTAACGTTGATCTTGTACAGAACTTTCCGCTGATTCCGGATCTGATTTTAGAATTTATCTAATCGTTATAGTTAAGAAGTCACAGCGCATTTTTACAAGAAATTACAAATAACACAAAGCTGTTGTTTTTAGTGTGATTGGATATTTTATGACATCTATCCTGACCAGAATTTTGCGCTAATTCTGAATCTGAGCTCAGAATTTATAAAATAGTCGTATTTGAAAAGTTATTGATACTTTTTAAGTACCCTTTTTAGTTTTCGTCTTCTAACGTTCAAAAATAGGCTATAATTTCTTAAATTAGAATATTCGACAAATTCTGATAGCAACTTTGGGATCAGCGCAAAATTCTGCACCAGAAAAACTTTAAAATCTCGGAATCCCGACTAAACGTCGAAAAACGTCGATTCTCAACCCTGACGGGATCGAAATTTCTAGTTTTCTAGTCTTTTCACCCTGAAAATGCTTTAGAACTTTAAAAAAGATCATATTTGACAGATTCTGATAGCAAATTCGGAATCAGCGCAAAATTTTGTGCCAGACAATGCCTCTAAAACCGCCAGTTAACTTAGAACAACGACAAAAAAATCGAAAAGGGCCGATCAGCCCGTGCGGGATTCGAACCCTAGTCTCTGGGGCTCAAGAAAACCCAGAATCCAACCAATACACCACGCCAGTCTCCGTGAAAATTCGCTTGGCCCATGTATAAACCGTAGAAATGTGGGTGTCATTGTCTGAATCCTCGTTTTTTTCAGTCTTTCTCTCCCCACTGTGCCGGGATGAGACGCCAGTGGTGCGCCAAGAGTTGTCGCTCACCATTTTTTCCTTTTTGTGTCACCGGATCAACCCTTTTTGGGACCCTTCCGGTTGCAATGGGAGGACCCAGCAGCTTTCATTTTGTTTGCCCGGTGCTAAAAGGAGTAAAGGCCGGCTACAAACTACAGAATTTATAATTAGGAAAGAAAATGGATTAAGTTAGAGTTCTAAAAACATTGTTGTAGTTTGTGCCCTGTGCCATTCGCCTCTTTTGGCTGGGTTCGCTGATGCACCGGGTGTTTTTGCTAGAGATACCAGAAGGAAAAGAATCACGTCCTTAAAGGGATTGGCAAGGCGGTACTTTCCTATTATCGGGGGGGGCGAATTTTTATATAAGCCCAGAACTTCCTGGAAATATAATAGTATGTAGTTTAACAGTTTTTCGTAAAAGTAACGATATTACCAGCGGAAAAGCCATCCATAAATGAGCAAATTTTTTAGGATTTACATCTTTTTCCAAAAACGGCCATTTTGCCGATTATACGGCTTTGTAAAGTTTTTGCGCTTAAGTAGGCAGTAGACTCTAGAAAACCCTAAAAATTTGAAAGTCGAGATTTTAGCCGAAAATCGACGATTTTGGGTGGAAAAATTCAAAATTTTTTTGTTTTTTTTTATGGACATTTCCAAAGGTTTTTATTTATGTGGAGAATAGTAAAAAAACCGTTTTGAAACATTTCCGTGATATATTAGGAAAAGATGGATGCTAAGAAAAAATTACGCCGTTTCCTAGAGAATCCACAGCCAGAAAATCCATACCCGTGCCTTGCCGGTCCCTTTAGAGCCGAGATTTCGATAGCCCACACCCCCGGTGCATCACTCTGGATTGGGGTGTCTTTTTCGCGCTTCTCCTCGGTTCCCGGAGCTTACAGGCAGCTTTTGCAAGGCTTTCTCTCTCTCCATGGTGTCTCCGGCAGGTCTTGTTGGACAAAAACGTCTATTTTTGTTTCAGCTGCTGCGTAGCCGTGGCGTGCAACCCCTCGGATTCCACACGGCCACTCCGCTCTGAGCCAGGTAGGCATACTAATTCGGTTCTTTGGCATTATCGTGGCCGGGAAGCGATTTTTCCTAAACATCGGAAATGGCTAGCAACGTCACAGGGAGCAATTAATCGCGTTTTTAGTGAAATTTAACTTTATTTAAAGTGGAAACTGGTCTAAAAGACTTTGGAAAAAGTTAAATTAGAAACTTTGTATTTGTATTTGTAGTTTTTGATGAAATCTGATACGTTTTTGCTTGTGGGAATAGTAAAAAACGTTTTTGAAACACGTCCTTTATTGATATTAGAAAATTGGGACCATTATTTTAATTTAATAGAATTTACAACATTTAATTCTAAAAATTCAGCTGGAACATGTCATGATCAGCGTCTACCCGCTCAATTCTCCTACTGCCTCCTCCTCCTCCTCCTCGTTCGCCTCGTTTTCCCTTCGCCAAATACGGGTGGGCTTATTTTTGAATTTAATTTATTAAAAATTAATTAAAATTCTTTTTTAGCAGCTAACTGAGTTTAAAAAATCTGAAGAACCTGCATTTTTGAGAAAGGTGTTTTTCCACATTTTCTACAACCTTCAGGCACGCCAGCTTTTCCTCCCCGCTCCCCCAAATGTGCCTTCCGTATGCAACGAAGAATGTCCCCAGCCACTTGAATCCTCCGCGAATTGAATCAACGACTAAAGGTACGCAATACTATCAAGGAATGGCATCGAACGAAACGATACTATCGACAAAAAAGACGCAGAAAGCGCAGAGGCGTTCGGGGTCATCACGGCCATGCCATCCATCCCCGACGCCTCATAACCTAGGCCCTGTCCCCTCAACTCGCCGCCCGGTTAGCTCAGTCGGTAGAGCACCAGACTCTTAATCTGGTTGTCGCGGGTTCGAGCCCCGCATTGGGCTTAGTTTTTGCTTCTTGCTCGAAAATCGCTAAAAACGTTTCGTTAGTCCCGCGCTGTAAGAATTTTGTCAATGTTCGTGGTTCTATTAACGTTTTTGAAGGCTTATTAAGACTAAGCTGGTGATTGCCCAATAGAAACCACCAGGCCCTAGAAAGCTGAGGTCGGCACTTTTCCCCAAAGGGCATCCAGGGGTACTGATAGTGCTCATTTCCCGTTTTACACAGGGGCACGATCGCCAGGTGGTCTCCTATCTGAAGCACAAGCGGAGGACAATCAAGAATCGAGGTTATGCCTTGAATTGTCGCGTTCGACGCATTCAGAATCATCATCAGCCTGCGACTGATGATGTGTTGCTCAGGGATCAGGTTGGAAATTCGTATAAAATTTCATTAAATGTTCCCAATTCAGACGGTGGTCAGTCTGCAGGGATGGCTTCAGTACTACGAGAGCTCATACTCGACATTCTTCAACTATTCTTCAAGGCGCCTGTAATCCGGCCCTTTCCTATACCATGATCCCCACATTGCCATAGATACCCTTGTAGCTTAGAATCTGGAATTCATTGACAAGCTGGCCTTCTAATTGGAATATTATTTTTTATCCATCCATCAAACTACAAATATAGACGACGACGTTCCGCTACAAACTACACCCATAAGGGCGTAAAAGTGCATTTTTTTGGGTGTAGGCCCCGAAGAATCGAGCATTTATAGCTTTTACTTGCAAAAAATTTTCAAATTGAAGGAATTTCCTTGAGCATAGCATGAATTCCGCCAGGTACGGTTAATTCTAATCCATTCTACTAGCCACCATTTCTGTGTTTTTTTGTACAATAACTCGATCTTCCCCGTTAAACATTGACCAAAATCTCTGATGTCACTTGTGATCGCCTTTTCCACTTTTTTATTTTTTTTGTCGTCCGTATCCAGCTAACGTACTCTTTTTTTGGCCGCATTTCCGTTGTGATATGATGTTCTCCTCCTTTCCGGTTGGGTTTCCGCCCGTTCCCTTGGCCACCCACCCACTCGACGCAATTGTGATATTTATGTGTTACCGTACTTTTGATGTTTTTCGGTTTAATGTATTTCCTCAAATATGTCTTGCAAATTTTCCGATCATTTTTCTTCGCTTGTCTAGTCGATAAATATTCGAGTTTACGGTGCTTCCTGGTTATCGGGGGTCGGTTATTTTAGCGGGGGTCGGTTGCGAACTTTTTTTCTATGATATCGTGCGGCTCGGCTAATTAAAAACTGGCCGTTTTTATAGACTTGTGCGCCGTTTGAAATGGTTCTGGACTGTTAGCGGGGAAGGAGACATTAAGAAAAACATCATAAAACATGTTGAAAAAAAATTCTTTTTCGGTGTAACGTATATGAAAATGGCTAAAACCGCGCTATAACCCTAGATTTCGTGACTATAGGATAAATATTTTTATAATTTTTGATTATCGGAAGCTACTAAAACAGTATTAAAATAAACTACAATTTATCACTAGGCAGGTATAGGCTAAACGAAAAGAAGATGCCAACCGACCCCCGCTAAAATAACCGACCCCCGATAACCAGGAATCACCGAGTTTACTTTTTAGTCTTGACAAAGTGTAGGTTCCTTTGGGGAGTTTCACCATTTTTTTTCTTTTCCCGTTAGATGGGGACCTTCTCTTTCCGCTTCTCCTCCTTGCTTTTTCTGGCGGTACCAGAATAAAGAGATAGCCGAGGCACAAATGCCCGACCCCCAGCAGCCGGCAGCCCTGCCCATTTCTCGGTCCGGTGTTCCCCGGTTCTGCAAAACTTTAGCACATTTCTTTGGCCGGAAATTACTGTAGTTTCTCGTATTTTCTGATCCCTAGATTTCAGGCTTAGAACTTCACGCAAAAATGCAAAATGGAGAGGCGAAACCGATCGGGGCTCAGGTTGGGGCTTGAAATTACAAAAAATACTTTAAAAGCTTGGCGTTTCCTTTTTTCTGTTGGGAAAACCAAGAAACTGAATTTTACAAAAAAAACACGATTTATATTCCAGCCGGAACACGCAATGATTAGCGTCTATCCGCTCAATTCCCCGGCTGCCTCCTCCGCCTCGTCGTTCGCCTCGTTTTCCCCTTCGTCAACTACGGGTACGAGGTTTTTCATAGTTTTAGCGTATTAAAAAATAGACTCAATATCGTAATACTTTTTTACCTTTTAGTAGGTAATTTTAAAAATTCTAAACCTAAAGTTTCTAAAAAAACAGCTTTAATAATATTTAGGCCTGCCGGCTTCACCTCCCCCTCCCCCAAACGTGCCTTCCGTTTCCGACGAAGAGCTGGCGCAGCTCAGCGTGCGCCAATTGAATCAACGACTACAGGTACGAAATGATACTATCGACAAATGGCATCGAACGAAACGCTACTATCGACAATAGGACAAAAAAGTGCTGAAAGGATGCCGGGGTCAGCCCAACCTGGGAATTTTGCGGGCCGGGCCGGCCCGGCCCGGCTCGCCCCGGCCCGGCCCGCCACCTCGATTTCGCCGGCCCGGCCCGGCCCGGCCCGAAGCGATTTTTCTGGGCCCGGGCCGGCCCGACTTTTAAGGGTCAAATACGGGGCTGGCCAAAAAACTCCCGCCAAGCTGGTTTAACACCATTGCAAGGTATTTTGCTGTTAATACGGTATTAGTGGACCATTTTTGCAGCACTTCGGTTAATAAAATTTAAATTTCAAAGTTATAACGATTTTTAAGAGCTAAATATCGACCGATATCAGGGTAATAATGTTAAATTAAGCCATTTCGAGTTTTAATTCGCCATATTAATATATATTTTGGGTCTTGTTGAGTACTACGATACATACTGATACATCTAAGAAAAAATCCGGTCGCGCTGACATAAAAATTCAAAAAGCAAAAAAAAACGCCGGGCGGGGTCGAACCCGGACCGATTTCCTGGTAGGGGCGTAATCGAGAAAAGGACTAAATTTTTATTGAGGCTGTATAATAACGCCAAATCGACTATTCGTGAGCGAAAATATGCAAAATAAGTCCCAATTTCCCCCAAAAAATGTATTTTTAGACTTAATAACATTTAAAAACCCCGGTTTTTTTGAGCATCAAAGTGTCGTCGCATAATCACTCATTTAGCTAAGTAACAGTAGGCCGGCAGTCTTCATATCGAGGTGCTTTCCGAAAATCGCTAGCAAAAATTTCCTGAACACAGTGTGTACCAGCCACTAGGCCTTGATAGACATCATTGCAGATACCGTCAGTTATAGGCGAGAATAAAGCTGTTATACCACCCAAGAAGCAGGAAGGATTTATGCAAATACGCAACATATGAAAAGCTAACAGGTTTAGGGCTGGTTCCCTTGGGGGCCGTCATTGTGGTAGCCGTTGATCGTGGGTGCGGCCTGTCCAAGTTGCTGATCTCGCCCATGCGCGTCCATCGCTGGCATCCTATTGGCGACGGGGTCTCCCTGTCCGCGTTCGAGCAGCATGAGCTGAAAAAAACAACCATGGGTAAAAAACCGTAGGCAGAAGCGTCCAGGATCTGATTAACTATTTATCATCCACATATAGGGCTAGACAAAAATAAAAAATCGTCCCCCTAGGGCTAGACAACAAATAAAAAATCGTCCCCCGTGGAAAACGCCGGTTCTTGAGTATTCCCGGGGCATAAGCCTATTTTAATAGCAAAACCTTTTTTAAAGTTAGAAAAACGCTTGAAAAAGTCAAAAATTTTGTCATTTTTAGGTCGAAAATTTGATTTTTCGACCATTAAATTTTTTTAATTAAATCTTGTAAAGTTTGTATGCTTACGAATAGCTATAAACAATTTAGAAACACTTCCACTATTTATATAAAAAATCTAGGCTTGAGCCGAAAAAACTTCGGTTCCCCCCGAATACTCAAGTACCCCTTTTTGTCAAAGAACATTTTTCTAATGAGCTACCGAGATAAATCCTGATTTATTACAAAAATGATTGGGTGCGTGATTTCCTAAAAGGAGCCCAGTTTTTTTAGGAAGGTAAAACACACCTGAAGAGGCGTTTCTTCTCCTTGGCGTAGATCTTCTTCTCCCAAGGGTTCCAGTCAAAATCGAGGATCAATCGATAATTGAAAGATGCAAAGCCGTCGAGCACTCTAAACAGGGAAAGAGCGTAAAGCAGAAAAACACGAAACTACCGGTAGTGAACATCCGTCTTTTGGCCCTTTTGCTGGCCATTGAGGAATGCCTTGACGTAGAGATCGCCGCATGGTTGTTGGAAATTGCGCTTGCAGACGACCGCGTTGAACACGTTGAAGATGGCGATGCGGATTTGGTATTGTTCTGGGCGGCGGACGGAGATGTCAATCGGGCGGGGCACAGGGCCTGAATTTGGTTAGGGTTTTTGCAGGTCAGGCTAGAAATTACCGATATCCAAGGGAAAGATGTCGACCCAACAGCGGATGCGGCCCACCTGTAGATAAATGGTGAAATCTATCGAAAATACCTCTTGCTTTCCACCATGGCTGTCAAATAGTGGGCGTGATTCGACGTGCTCAGGCACCAGACCCATCTGGAAAATAAGCCAGTTTTCGAAAAGCGCAGAAACGTACCTTGTGGAGTACAAAAAGGGCCACTCGTTGCACCGGGCTGCCGACCCGGGGTCTGGGCGTTGGCTCACGCTCAATGTCGCTGATCATGAATTTGACGCCCAGCACCTGAAAGCAAAAACGTTGAGCACAAAACTGATACAATGCACCTCAAGTCCCAGATTCGGATAGGCATCGCCAAGGAAACGCGGTGGTGGGAGTTGCATCCGACGGCAGTATCGACGAAGGGTGGAGAGGGGGCTGAGTTGGTCCCTCCACACCAGATCGCCCTGAAGATGTAGATAAATAGTCAAAAAAATTAAGATAACAATTAGGTTAATATCAAGCCCCATTATAAGATTTTAAAATTCTGAAGTTTTTGACCAATTTTCCCGGTTTTTTACTAATCTTCGACAAAAATCACAATTTTTCGGAACCTGTGTGACCTAATCAAGATTTTACTTTATGAAAAACAGTGATAAACGTCGGAAATACCCGACATTTCAATCCTAGCCCCTCACGCGCATCGAAAAAAAATGTCCTAGCACCCCCACTAACACACAAGCCCTGATACCTTTGTGGTGTATTGCTGCGGGAGGGCTACAGTAGTCCGGTGACGTGTCAAAAGGCGGTCCTCGAGATCGATCGTTGTGGAGCCGACTTCCTCGTCACGGATGATGCGCCGGCGATTCATGACGGTTATCACCAAGTCCTTCTCGAGCGGCAGTTCAACGTCAAATTCGATCAACTGGAAAATCCGATTTTGAAGGTTTTGAAGGGTCATCACAACCTCTCCATATTCTGGATCAACGTTGTCCGGGGAGTAGCTGGCTTTGCGGCTGATCTAAAAAAGGAAGTTATAAAAATACGCTACACTACGCCAGAGAAATAAAACAGTAATAACTCATAAACTCCAACCTTCTTCTTCCCAATTCGCGCCATCACGTAGGAGTCACAGGCGCGGTTCGTTTTCTTGTTGATGAGGCCGGTGGCTAAATCAGTGGTTCAAAAAACACCAAAAACGGCCTACCAGCCACAACATAGAGACGCACACGGCACGCTGTCACTCCAGGAAATTCGACGCCAGACGGTTGCGCCAAAGCGGCTAAAGAAAAAAATCTTTCTTGGAAAAGAAGGACCTTACGCGCTTTTTCTCCTTCATATTTTTGGAGGAAAAGGCGCCCTTTCAGCTCTCCCGTCAATTCCTTCTCTTCATGATCATCAAAGTGGCCTAAAACTCCGCGTTTTTGCAGGGATAACATCACATGCCTCGTGCCGATTTCTTGAACTGGAATTTGTCGAGGAAGTCTTTGAAGCGCCCATATTCCTTGGTGTCTTCCAGTGGCCATGGGAAGATGCTCAGCGATTCGATGCCGGTCCTGAATTTGAAAGGTAGAGTGAGCCAACCTAAAACAAACTCTTTGAAACCTAGCACGCGTTCGGAGTGCCCGTCCGAATAGTAGAACTTGCTCCACCAGTCGATGCGATAATCGCCCAAATGCTCGTCATTCACCACTAAAAACAAAAGGTTATGTTAAATCTGGAAGCATACCTTTAGGCAATTAAGCATCAGCTGCATCTTCAAGCTCAACCAGATCCTCAAATTGCTGCCAGCCGTCGTCAGATAGTTGGTCTTGCTGTAACCAACAAAATTTCACAAAGTATCTCGCCGCTAACCTTTCGATGCCGGTTGTCTTGACGTATTTGCGGTAGTCGCCGGAAATGATCGTGTTGAGGACGAGCGGCGGAGCGAGTTCCAGTTCTGAAAAACAAATTTTTAAGCAGAAATCTTTCGATTACCAGCAGCATGACGTTTTGGAAGGTGACGAGGGGCTCGTCAAAGTTCGGGTTATCCTTGACATATCGCAATGGGCGGAGTTTCGCGTCAGAATCGCCAAAGATCATCGAGATGAACGGGCGGCGGAACGGTCAGCAGCTAAAATGCTGATAATGGTTTGATTTCGAAAGCTTAAAACTAACAACTTACACACAGCCAGAATTTTGCCCAATGGGGTTGGAATGGGGGGTTCGAGTGGGGCTCCATTGGGGGTTGGCATGGGTGTCTGTTGGGGGGTGTTGCGATGGAGGTCAAAATAGGTCTTTGGGGTAAATGGGGGTTCGGGAGGTCTAATTACTAGCATTTGGCGCATGCCAGAAATCGGCGAAAAAGCGTTGATTCCTGGCAAATAACAAGATACGGACGCAACGCGACTGACGTATTTTGATCCCCCGTTTCGACGTGAAACTGCTTGAATTTCATTATTGTGACGCGATTTATTTAATCGTGAAGCCATTCCAATCATTCTAGCTGTTTTTACTTATAAAAATGACCCCGGGATAACCGAGATCGCTCAGTTGACGCTAATGACGGAATACGAAATGTTTACCTGAGATTGATGGCCACCATCAGCTCGGGCCAATACGTTATAGGCGACGACTAACTAAAACAAAGCTAAGTAAAGAGTTAAAACAAACCGATTCCAAAGCCGTCTTCATATCAGCTAACACCGCTGGCAAATGACCATCTTCTATTGTGGTTGGGTGCTAAATATAAAACGGTTAATATAATAGGTGACCAGCAGCAAGGTTGAGAGTGCATGGTCGAATTAGATCCAATTCTGTCAGGTAGACTTCAAGTAAAATTTTCGACGTCGGCAATTTTAACGCCCTGTTTAACCAGGAAAACGTAATTTTAAAAATCCCAGCGTGCTGCATGCTTCTAACACTGGCTGTCAGATATTAAAGGGATAGGGACGGCATCAGTCAATTGATTACGCGCGGGAAAGAAAATGTCACTGCACCTCTCCCCGGGGCGCGCTCTCTCGCAAATCATTATGGATTGTTTCAAAACGTAATTATCAAGTCAATGTGGGTAGCAAGTTCCCACCATTCGGAGCCGTGCTCATCGTCTTCTGCGAGATTTTAGCGCCCCAAACATCCGTATGCGCCACGAAAGTCCACCTAAAAAGATAATCGCCGAAAACTAGTCATGACCCACCCCTCAGCCGTTCGTTCTTGTAGTTCGAACAGCTTGTCATCGTAGACGACGCGGCCTTTCTCGGATGAGATTCAGCGCTCGCGCGTGTGGCGCACTTGCCAATCTCCCTAATTCAAAGGTAATCATGTAATAAATCATGCCTTACCGAATAAAGCCAACCATCCGGAACCACTGGTCCTTGAAGTGGGTCCACGATATGCCCGCGAAAGTCGAAGTACCCAAGCGTTCCCCACTCGTTGTTCTAGTTTCGTAGCTAATAGGTCTTGTCTTAACAAAAGTGGTAAGCAATCAGATTTTCTGTACCTGATAGTGGTAGACCTCCCAGAAACACTTCGGCTCCGCAGGCTTCATCTCGCCTATGTAGGCTGCGCCATTTTTGTGTCGTCCCATCCACATTTTGATGTGCAAGACGGCCGGCACTTGGTCGTCTTGTGACTTCTTGCGGACGGCGCCTTCCATCCACATCAACTGCACGGGCCGCAGTACCGTCCGGCAAGGGCCTCAGCTTCCACCGAGTGCATAATCTAGGATTGTTTTAATAAAAATACATGGCCGGTATACTTCTGCTGGTGATATGCGAGCATAGGCGACGACTTTTTCCGAAGCCACCATTTTGATGAGGATATCAGGCAGGGTACATTCAGCATCACGAGCCAATTTGCTAAAAAGTTCACAATTTTTTGGGAAATCTGCTTTCAAATTACCGTAGCGAAAGTGCGGCACGAGCCAGACAACGGGTCCCTTCCTCAACAGCTTTCTCGAGCGGCAGGTGTTCATCCTTGAGCGACAGCAGCCCTTCACGAATCTGGCAAACAATTACTTCCGAACCTTTGGCAGCTCAACCTCAGCGATCATGCGTTGTCGGGTCTCCTGGTGAAGAAAATCGTGGTGGGAGCGGAGTCGCTTGGGAGCTTGGTGGTGTTGGATTGAGGCGAGCATGCGGCCAGCCCATTCGAGGCCTTCCACGACCAGCTCGCCACCATAGGACGCTTTTTGTCCACCGAGGGCCGCCACTTCTCCAACAACTTCTTCAACCATTGTAGCGACCTAGCACAAATTAATTAAAAGCTAACGGAAAAGTACCGCTGATATCGCATTGGACCTTTCGACACGATGGTGGACGTTTTCCTAGAGGCATCCAATCTCGAGCAACGGTTCGTGGTTGCCCCAGCCCATGCAGAAATCGCGGCAATCGTCATAGTCCGGCATTGATGGTGGGTGCTGCTTCTGGGCAGCGGATACGATCGTTCGTTGCTTCCGTAGTTTCCCATTGACAGCTAAAACTGAGTGAGGAGCGTCAGCTTTAATAAATTCATACCAGAAACGAGACTTATCCGAGGCATCGCAACGGTTGATTTTTTTTGCATGCGTGGCAAAGAGGCTGTAGTGGTTGAGGCGCTAAAAATCAGCGATTTCCTTGTGTAAGTAAAGTCACACTAACTTCAAATTTGAGCCCATACTTGACGGCGGCATGGGAAAGGGTAGCCACCTCCGGGTGATCGCCTTGGAAGTCGACACACTCAACTGCGGCCAAAATACGCCCGTAGAATCTAGGCCAAATGTAAAGACGCGACCGAGTATATCTTTACTTGCAGTTGTCGGTTTCCGGAATCGTCAACTTGCGGCGAAAGCGGCGGAGCTGGGGCATCTTCTCGGGGCCGTAAAAGTTGAGGAAGGCGGGTCCAAATGACGGCAGATATCCTTCTTCGCCTGGAGCGTAGATGTCGCGAAGAGCAATGGAACTTGGGCGATGACCGTCTTCTTTTTCCCGCGCGTCATGATCAGATGGAAGACGAGGCGGTGGATGACGGTGGGCCAGAGGAACGGAAGGGCAACTTCTTCGTTGAATGGGATGAACTTCGACTCGACGTCAAAGGATTCCGGCGTGGTCTCGCCAGATTGATTGCCAGCAATTACCTAGAAGGAATTCCGTAAAGCCAACTAGTTGTAGAACCTTGATGGTAAATTCTGCATCCGGGCCTTTGCCCTTGCGGGGTTGGATGTTCTCGCGCACTTCGGTGACGAGTTGGAGCAGGCGGTGAAGACGTACCTAGGAAACGGCAGGAATTGCAAAGCGGCGAGGTTTGTACTGACCACAAGTGTGTATCCGGCAAAATGGGCCGAGTTGAAGATGTCTTTGCTATCGTCGTCATCGCGGATTGGGGGTGATTCGCCGGCGCTGTAGACGGCAATAGACACCTAAAAAGTGTATAAAGCTTCGGCAAGAGCTCCACTTTGATGCAGCCGACATCCTCATCCCGTTCGGCTCGTTTGTCATCCTTTGGAGGCGGAGCAAGGGCAATCCACTTGTTGAGGATGGCGCCTCCGGATTGGTGCATGATCTGGAAAAAGCTTATAAGTCCCAAAGTGGAAATCTTACCATAGCCATTGGGCAATCGAAAGACCCAAGCAGCTTATCGCTCAACACACGGCGAACAGCATAAGCCTGAAAAGCTAATTCAAAACTTTTCGGGCAAGCTCCTCACCTGCAATGTGATGGTCTTCATTGCCGCTTTTTCCAAAGTTGTCTCCAGGGAAAAATTGAGGTTCTGTTGCTATTTTGGGTGAAGTTCGGTGGTGACGCGTGTGGCTTTTGTTCTTCCGTCCAAGCGTACGCGTGCTCGCAGGTTGCCACTCTCCCGAATATCTCGCGCTTCGATCACTCGAACGGTCACCTAAAGTTTGTTAATTTTGGCGCTTAAGCAGCTGAGCCAAACTGCAAAAAAACTTACAAAAACATTCCGTTTGACGTCGGTGTTTTCAAAGCTCTTTCCGCCGGTGCGGGCCGCGTTTTCAGCGTCGCCCTCTTGATCGGCCCGGTGCTCACCGACTTCGGCCTCCGAGTTTGGGTCGTCACCCTAAACAGTTTGAAGCCAATAATTTGCAAAGTAACCTCTGTGCCGGTTTCGCCATCTGTGTCGGCTTCGGCGTCGGTCGAGCCCTCTTCATCAGTAGTAGCGTTGGTTCTATAAAGGTTGGTTGGTCATTCTATAAATTAAGCGTTGGTTTCGGTATTTCTACGCTGACAACTTCGATTTCGATCAAACTCTCGGTTCCTCGGATAACACTCCTTGACTGGTCGCTATTTGGAATCCGGAACCTATTCAAGTTTTGAATGGCACTTCCGGTATAAAAAAACGGCCTCTATCAGACTGTCCAAATTA